TCTCTCTCTCTCTCTCTCTCTCTCTCTCTCTCTCTCTCTCATTTCTCTAGTAACGTGTTCTGTGATTTTCAATCGTACTCCTCCCCGTTGTGTAACCATCGTTGTCTTCGCTGGTCGAGGATCGTTCTTTTTTAAACGGATTAAGTAAGGACGCGGGTTAACGATCCCAAAATTTGTTATTATTCCCTTAACTCGCAGTATTATGGAATGAATTTTGTTTTTGTTTCCTTGTATTTTTTTTTTTTTTTCTGTCCGCTTCGAAAGCGAAGCACGCAAACAAAGTTGATCAAGAAGGAAACAACGGAGTCGATCGATGATAAATCGAAACGAATTCGATCTCGATCGAAGCTGATTTATTCGAAGGATCGAGGAAGCGAATATATATATATGTGTATGAATGTATGTGTATATATATATATTCGTCTAGTCATTTTTTTTTTTTCTTTCTCGAACGAACCAACTTGTCTACTTCGTATCACACTACCAAAGAGGGCCGTACCAATGAATCTTGGATCATTTCTCGGATGAACCGTCAACCTCGCCACTGTTTGTTGTTTCATTCCGGATAAATGGTGTTTATTTTTTTTTTTTTTTTTTTTATATAATTTTTATCTTGTACGACGATCTCCAAGTTATTTTCTACTTGGAGAGGGGGACCAAGACGGGTTTACAAGATCTCGACGTGTCGCATTACTTTTATCAACTGAAAAATGTTTTTAATGTTGCCCGTTTTTAGATTAGTCTATTCCGGCAATACGTTGTTAAGTCTTTTTTTTTTTCTTTTAAAGCTGTATATATATATATATTGCCGTATAGATAGCGATAACTCGACGTTCCTACCTATTATCGTCAAAAATGAATATTTCGCTCGTTTAAAGATATCTGTAATAATAATAAAAGAACGTAAGAAATTATCGTTGACGCATTTCGCAGCGGATCGTTGATCGATCGATAAAATTGACGAATCGGTTGGATGAGTATAGGGGTTGCAGGACGACCGGAACAAGACTGGGCTAGAAATTAGAGATTAGCAAAAGTATATCTAGAAATATCGTCGCGAGGGAAAGGTAGATGATAAATTTAATTTGTTTCGATCAACGATATATATGTATATATATATACATATATATATATATACATATATCTCGCTATGCCTTACCTACGTTTGCTTGCCTGTGTGGTGGTAACATTTCAATAAAGTGTATAAATCAGAAAATCTACCCGACACCTGTTCTCCAACGATTATATCCACGAATTTTATCACGTTTCCTTTATCCGTTATAT